ATAATAATAATAATAATAATAATAATAATAATAATAATAATAATATTATGAAAATTTTATTTTATGAAACGACATTCAAATTTAAAAAAAAAAAGGGGGGATTTTTTTTTAAGAATTAAATAAATTCTTAATTTAGGAGAAGAAATTGTGTGTAAATTTTTTGGAAAGATAGTAAATTCTTTTGATATTTTTTATAAATATAAAGAACTTCCTTTCTTTTTTAAATGGAGAGGGTGTATAAATATGTGTATGTAGTAGCCATTCTAAAGGCTTGAAGAAAAGAAAAAAAAAAAGAAGACGGGAATTCGGGGAAGAACGAGACTGCGAATCGAGGGTGAGAATTTGGTTTCATAAGCGTTCAAGCATCGATAAGGTTATTAGTCAGGGATATCATTCGATAACTTACATAGTCAGGTGAGTCTTCATGAGACTTTAACTGGAATGCATACTTATGTACAAATTATTTGAGCATTACGATATTTTATGTACATGTTTATGTTTTTTTTTACATGTATATGAATTATTATTGTGGGTTGCATGCTATCTGTTTACGTGTTTTTTTAAACATTAATTAACATGTCATAAACGGGTTAATATTTTTGTCAGGTATGGGAAGGGGTCAAAAGTCATAGGGATGGCACATCCTAGGGATGGGTGACCGGACAAGGGATAGCCGTGTAACCCGGGGAAGTGCCGATGACGCTAAGACCCTAACCCGATGGGAAATTAAGAGATCTCATTATTATTTCAAAAGGGTTTGAAACAAATGTGCATATTATTTTATTTGGGGTATTGTTTAATTTATGCATGATGTGAAATGTATGATTGTGCATGAAAACCATGAATTCACCGAGCTTTATAAAGCTGACTATTAGTATGCATCTCAGGAGCTGGGTATTCAAAAACGGAAAAAGGGCAAAGGTTCTGCGTAGGAAATATAATTTTTATTTGAGTTATGAATTATAAAATTTATATTAGCTTAATTGAATTTATGTGTAATGTAACCCTATGGGATGGGTTAGTTTTGAGATATTTATTTACGATTAAATTATTGTAAGACTTCCGCTGCGATAAGGCTTTATTAGCAGCTAGAATTTGGATTTTATTTTATTTTATTACGTGGCACCTTGTAATTGAAATGAGGGTGTTACATTTTCCTCTACTACAACAACCTCCACAACCACCATTGGCCACCGGCTACAACTACCTCCTCCATTGCCATCGACCTCCACCACCACCACCACCACCACCACCACCACCACCATCACCATCCACTAGCTTCATGTTCTCCATAGCCACCATCGTCCACCAATAACCAATGCCTCTATCCTCACAACCATTATTGTTGCAACGATCTCAATTGTGCCTTCGCCAATTGATACAAATCTTCTAAATCGAATAAAAAATAATTTCTCCTTTGTATGAATCGGATTTTTTCGAATTACCATCAATTTATATCAAAAATTTCATTCAAATTTGGTACTATTATATATGTATGTATTCATGTATACGAAAATTCTGTAAAAATGTTTATAAATTAAGTTATTCAATTATTTACTTTATTTATGTTAATTATAACTATTATAGGATATATAACTTTTGGGAGCAACTTTGATAGTCCCAATCTTCAATCAATCTTCATGAATTATCTTCAAGAACATTAAGATAAATGGCATTCTTCATGACATGGGTTTAGAGAGAAAAACTCAAATAGTCAATGTGTATATTATTCCTCTAAAACTCAATATTACACGTAGTATTACAATTAAGCTCCTAACTTCTAAAACTCCCTTACAAGACCTATTTATAGGTCAACACAAACTACACAAGTCAAAGTCAAACCTATGACTTACAAAGTCAAACTAACAAGAAATGCAAATAAAACTTTCAAGGATGAATACAATTAACTCTAAAATTCAATCCTAACATTCTCTCCCTTTGGATTCAGGCTTGAAAAAATTTGTACTCTTTGAATCCCTTTTGAAACTTTGACGTTTTACGCACTTTAAAACTTCTTAAAATCTTCAAGTTAATCTTCTAACATTCCCCCCTTTATGTTCTTCAAATAATATTCTCTTGAGAAAATCTTTCAAAACATTCTCCCCCTCAAATGTAGATAAAAAACAATCTTCTCTTTTCACAATGAAGAACTGTAACAGTAACAGTCTTCAGAAATAAACTTCAATGAATTTCTTCAGATAACTTTCATTCTGAACAGCTTCAAGTAATAACATTCTCCTCTTGAAATCTCTTTCAGTAAACAGTTGTTAAGATGAGATCTTCACATTCAGCTCCTCCTCAACATTGTAACACAAAATAATCAGCAGTCATCTTCATTCACACTCCTTGAGTCTTTTACAAATTCTCGATCTTCAGAATTGATTATTTCATTCATTATATAATACTCCCCCTTATGATGAAATGAGAAGCATTTGCATCATACAACAGAATGAATGAATCTTCAACGTAAGCCGTCAATTCATAAAATTGTAAGCAGATCTTTTTCAAATCCACTTGTATAATCTTTTCAAATTATGAAGATGGGAAAATAACCAAATTCAACATATGAATTTGTTAACAATCTTACAAAAATATTGGCATGTGAATATAACAAATATATTCAGTATAACAAATGTACTTCATATATGAGACTTTTTAAGGTTCATCTTATCAGGACTTCCATTCAATTATTGATAGTTTATAAAAAGCATATCTATGAATGTTACGACAAAATAACATATATATTGCAAAATTTGTGTAGTGTAGAAGAATAAAGCAATAA